TAAGTTTCCAGGAGCAGAAGGGATTTTATAATTGATCAGCCGGACGCTCAGCCGCTCCGTCGGCTTCTCGGGGGAGTTTATTTGGGGAGGAAGGACCCGCCGACATCCGCATCGGTAACGTGGCTTCCGATTTGGGCATCGTGACGGGCTCGGGAGAGGTGACATTCAGCCTGGAATCGGGCTCGGACTATCTCAAAATCGATAACATGACCGGGGAGCTGAGCACCACGGAGCGGCGCATCGACCGCGAGAAGCTGCCGCAGTGCCAGATGATCTTCGACGAGAACGAGTGCTTCTTGGACTTCGAGGTGTCGGTCATCGGCCCCTCGCAGAGCTGGGTGGACCTTTTCGAAGGCCGGGTCATCATCTTGGACATCAACGACAACACCCCCACTTTCCCTTCCCCCGTCCTTACCTTGACGGTGGAGGAGAACCGGCCCGTGGGGACCCTCTACCTCCTCCCCACCGCCACCGACAGGGACTTCGGCCGCAACGGCATCGAGCGCTACGAGCTGCTGCAGGAGCCCGGCGGGGACGGCGGCCGCCGCGCTGGGGGAGGAGGAGGAGGAGGAGGCGGCGGCGGCGTCGGGGGGGGAGGCTCGGCCTCGGCGGCCTCCGAGAGCGCCATCTACCCCGGCGGCAGCAAGAGGCGGCAGGAGGCGGCGGACTCTGCGGCCCGGAGCAGCGTCTTCGAGCTGCAGGTGGCCGACACCCTCGACGGGGAGAAGCAGCCCCAGTTGATCGTCAAAGGAGCCCTGGACCGGGAGCAGCGGGATTCCTACGAGCTCAGCCTCCGCGTGAGGGATGGCGGCGACCCGGCCCGCTCCTCGCAGGCCATCCTGAGGGTCCTCATCACCGACGTCAACGACAACAGCCCCCGCTTCGAGAAGAGCGTCTACGAGGCCGACCTGGCGGAGAACAGCAGCCCCGGCACCCCCATCTTGCAGCTTCGAGCCACCGACCTGGACGTGGGGGTCAACGGGCAGATCGAGTACGTCTTCGGGGCGGCCACCGAGTCCGTCAGGCGCCTGTTGCGGTTGGACGAGACCTCCGGTTGGCTCAGCGTCTTGCACCGCATCGACCGGGAGGAGGTCAACCAGCTTCGCTTCACCGTCATGGCCCGAGATCGGGGCCAACCCCCCAAAACCGACAAGGCCACGGTCGTGTTGAACATCCGTGACGAGAATGACAACGTGCCCACCATCGACATCCGGAAAATCGGGCGCATCCCGCTACGGGACGGGGTGGCCAGCGTGGCCGAGGATGTGCTGGTGGATACCCCCATCGCCCTGGTGCAGGTGTCGGACCGGGACCAAGGTGAAAATGGCGTGGTGACCTGCACCGTGGTGGGTGACGTGCCCTTCCAGCTCAAGCCGGCCAGTGAGGGAGAAGGGGAACCCCAGAACAAACGCAAGTATTTCCTCCACACCTCGGCCCCCCTGGACTATGAGGCTGTCCGTGACTACAACGTGGTGATTGTGGCTGTGGACTCGGGCAGCCCCAGTTTGTCCAGCAACAATTCCTTGCTGGTTCGTGTTGGGGACACTAATGACAACCCTCCTGTGTTCAGTCAGGCTGTGCTGGAGGTCTCCTTCCCGGAGAACAACTTGCCTGGTGAGAGGGTGGCCACGGTGGTCGCCACAGATGCAGACAGTGGGAAGAACGCTGAGATCACCTACTCCTTGGAGGCCTCACCCCTCTCCTCGGAAGCACCAGGTGGCATCTTCACCATCGACCCTGACTCTGGGGATGTGTCAGTGCAGGCGGTGCTGGACCGTGAGCAACGTGACACTTATGAGTTCCAGGTGACAGCCCGGGACAAGGGGGTGCCATCACTGCAGGGCTCCACCACAGTGGTGGTGCGGGTGGCAGATCGCAATGACAACGAGCCACGCTTCATGCAGGATGTGTTCACTTTCTACGTGAAGGAGAACCTGCAGCCCAACAGCCCCGTGGGCATGGTGACTGTGATGGACTTTGACAAGGGTCGCAACGCTGAGCTCAGCCTCTCCATCCAGCCCGGTGACCACGACCAGGCAACTGGTATCTTCTCCATCGAGAATGACACCGGAACCATTTTCTCCACCGTGTCTTTCGACCGGGAGCAGCAGACCAGCTACACTTTTAAGGTAAAGGCAGTGGATGGAGGTGAGCCACCACGATCTGCCACCGCCACTGTGTCCCTCTTCGTGATGGACGAGAATGACAATGCCCCCACGGTCACCTTCCCCAGCAACAGCTCCTACACCGTGCTGCCACCTTCCAGCAACATGCGCACTGTGGTGGCCACAGTGGTTGCCACTGATGCTGACACTGGTCTCAATGCTGATCTCAACTACAGCATCGTTGGGGGCAACCCCTTCAAACTCTTCGAGATCGACCCGGCCAGTGGTGTGGTGTCACTTGTGGGCAAGCTGGCCCCCAAGCACTACGGCCTGCACCGCCTCGTGGTGCAGGTGAACGACAGCGGGCAGCCACCCCAGTCCACCACCGCCCTGCTCCACGTCTTCGTCAACGAGAGCCTGTCCAATGCCACCGTGGTGGAGAGCCAGGTGGCCCGCAGCCTCCACACTCCCCTGGCCCAGGACATTGCTGGTGACCCCAGCTATGAGCTGAGCAAGCAGCGGCTTAGCATAGTCATTGGCGTGGTGGCTGGCATCATGACCGTCATCCTCCTCATCCTGGTGGTGGTCATGGCCCGCTACTGCCGCTCCAAGAGCAAACACGGCTACGAGGCCGGCAAGAAGGACCACGAGGATTTCTTCACCCCGCAGCAACACGACAAGGCCAAGAAGCCCAAGAAGGACAAGAAAGGCAAGAAGGGCAAGCAGCCCCTCTACAGCAGCATCGTCACCGTTGAGGCTTCCAAGCCCAACGGGCAACGCTACGACAGCGTCAACGAGAAGCTTTCGGACAGCCCCGGGATGGGGAGGTACCGCTCGGTCAACGGTGGTCCTGGCAGCCCTGACTTGGCCAGGCATTACAAGTCCAGCTCGCCTCTCCCCACCGTCCAGCTGCACCCCCAGTCCCCCACTGCTGGCAAAAAACACCAGGCCGTGCAGGACCTGCCCCCGGCCAACACCTTCGTGGGCGCCGGTGACAACATCTCCATCGGGTCGGACCACTGCTCCGAGTACAGCTGCCAGGCCAGCAGCAAGTACAGCAAGCAGGTAAGAGCAACCCCCCCGCAGCTCCCCCCTCCAACCCCGACACACACATCCACATCCACACCCCCCCAACACACACACACCCCGGGGGGAGGGAGCAACGATG